TGGAGGTTCTTAACCTTTTGTGTAGTCTTTTGGCAGTCTGCTGAACTTTAAGGTTCCATTTTAAGAATGACATTTTTTAATACATTAAAGAAAATGCATAGTATCAAAAAGAAAACCAATATATTAAAATAGTTACAAAATATTTTTAAAAACTAGTTTATGAATCCCAGGTTAAGGACTTTAATTGTAGGGTAATTCTTACTGATCCCAAGTTCAACTTTCTAGGGTCTGCTTATAGGGGGACTTATGGAAACATTAATAAGACTAAATTCTAGATAAATGGCCTGCCCTCCCCTTTCCTAGCCAGAATTTCAGGGTTCTAGCTTACAGGTTGTGTGAAATAGGAGAAACTCCTCAAGGCCATCCTCACATACATGTTCTCATCGTCAGCAATGACACGTCCACAAACTATGGGAGCACACTTACTTATAAAACAGAATCCACCTTATACACTACCGTTAGTAGTAAGGGATAAAAAAAAATAGGAAATGTAGAGTAGTTTAAAAAAAAACACCTCTCTTTAAACAGATGAAAGGAAGCAGAGAGGAGGGAGCAGTGAAGCCATGGGAGAGCTTTACCAATTGTGGATTCCACAGCTGAAGAGCATTTCCCCAGCTTGGTGCTGGACTCCTGGTCCAGTCTGTGCTGCTGCTGCTACTTCCAGGAGGTGAAGCTTCTGGCTAATATGTGCACAACACCATGGAACTATCCCTTTTGTCAGCCTGTTCTGGCTACTTTTAAGTCCCCTCTCATGCTCTGGTGCCCTCCCTCCTACCAGAGAATATAGCCCCTCCCCTATCCTCAAGCTCTACATTTTGTAAGATCTCTTGCTGGCCAGCCTTAAGTCATTTGTGATGTCTTCTCCATCTTCTCCCAAGGTAAGAAAGGCAGAAAAATTGTATCTTCCAGTAGGCATTGTGCTTAGCCTTTGACACATCTCTTGAGTCCCCTTGTTCCTTCCCTCCAGATAGAGGGGGCCACACAAAATAAAGACAGGAATGGTTAACTGATGGTGGTGGGAAGATAGGTCACCTCCCCACCTCAAACCCTTTAGCTTTGTTGTTATGCTTCCCCTCCTTACCCCACCTTCCAGTCATGTACACGGGAGAACAAAAGTGATATTGGTTCGGAAACCTTGAACCCCAAAGTCCTGGGAAGTTCACTGAGAGAGAAGCATCAACATGAATGATATAGGTGTAATTTTATCTTTGGAGATTAAGATAGGGAATTCTCATCTAAACTAGAATAAGGAGGTCTCAGGTAGAGACCCAAGTCTCCAGAGTAGGAGGTAAAATTAAAAAAAAAAAGTAAACGAAGCCAGAGTGAACTAGTGCAGAAAATTTCTACAGCTTTTTCTCAGTGTTCGTAGCTGGAAGTGTCCAGTGAAGTGTATGTATCCAGCAGAACAGCATCCCATAGAGACTCTTCAGTGCAGATATGTCAGTCTCTGTGAACCTGGAGTAACATTTGGCAGACACAATGCACATGAGGAAGTGCAGAGCAGGTTAGGTGGGAGCAGAATGATAATATAAGCAGAAGATATCAACCCAGCCCAATATTAGAAGCATGAGTTGTACCTCTACTTGTGTATTCTGGCCACATATGTTCCATATGTGTATGCCCCTTCTACTCATTCCAGTGATGGTGGGATCTCTATGGGAATGATCAATAGGTTTACAGAGGAAATATTTTATTGTTTCTTTTCCCAGGGTGATATTTAAATGACTTTGTTTTAAAATAATTGTGTCCTCTGATGTGCTATTAACATCTTGTTAGGTATGTTTTGAGTGAATATGAACCCACTGATTAAGAAATCCAGGGCAGTCTTATCTTGGAGACTTATTTCTTGCATTGAGTGATGAAACTAGGTTGCTACAGTTTTCTGAGGTATATGTGAGTAGTGAGTGCATTCCAAGTGTGAGGGACATCTCAACAAAGAGCACAGAGGTAGTAGATGGAATGCCTAGGTCAGGGAAGAGGTATCAGTACAGCTTGGCCAGAACATAGAGAACGTGAAGGAGAATAACATGAAATAAAGATGACAAACAATCAGGTATAGGTTAGATGTGTACAATCATATAAAACACTTCCATATTAGTCATTTTATACAAGAAGACTCAAATAAAAGAAAAAAAGAAGGAAGAAAGCATGCTTCAGGGGTTTGGTTTTCAAAGCCCTTTGGAGACAGATTACGGAGGTATTTTAATACCAGGCTGAAGAAACTTATCCTAGAGACTGTTGAGCAGAAAAGAGACATGGTCAGACTTGTGCTATCATACAATTATTTATTTTGGCAATTGTATAGAATATTGATTTGAGAGAGAAGATAATAGTTTTAATAAAATAAAAAATAAAAGGAAAAAGTCTTAATGAAAAGATTTGTTCTGTAAAACTTGGACTCAATCAAAATGCCACACCCAAGGACCTAGAAGGCCACATGTAACCTTGGGGCCACAGGTTCCCCACACCTGGTCAGGAAGCTGTCAGTCAATGAACATTTATTAAGTACCTACTATGTGTCAAGCACTCTGCAAAGCACTGGAAACAGAAAGGAAGAAAGTATAATTAATATTCCAGGCAAAAGGTGATTATGACCTTTGTGGTGCTGCTGGTGTCCGTGGATGGAATGAGATGTATGTTAGATTTATTGTGGATGTCTATTTGACAAGGGTTGGTAACTGATTGAATATGGGAACTGAAGGAGAGGAAAGAGTCAAGGGTGACTGTGAGATTATGAATCTAGGGTGATGAGACTGAGTAGAAACAGGAAGGTTTACAAGGGGGACAGATTTAGGTGGATTTAAGACAATGAATTCCATTTTGGACAAACTGAGCTAGTGGTGCCCCTAGGACATCCGGTGCAAAGTTCTAGCAGGCAGTTGGCAAATCAGAACTAGAGTTCAGGAAAGCAATTAAGGTTGGATATACAGACTTGGTTGGCATCTGCATAGAGATGATCTTTGTACCATAAAAGTACATAAGATCCTTATGGGAAAAATTACAGAGACAAGAAAAGGGTACAGGAGGAAACTCATATCAAAGGGGTATGAAATGAATAATGGTCCAGCAAAGAAGATTGAAAAAGAGCTGATGAATTGGTATCAGTAGATTCAAGATAAAGAAGTGTTATGGAAGCCAAGGGAACAGAGTATTCTGAAGGAGGAAGTTGTTGAAAGTGTCAAAAGCTATCAAAAAACTAGGCAGGATTAGAACTTTTCGTTTTACTTGAAATGGTCGAACTCTTCCTATAGTTTGGAAACATAACCTACGCTCTCCTTATCTGTGTGATTCAGAGTTGTCATTTGTTGAGATGAAAAACCTTTCCTTACTGCTTCTTACTTATCTCCACCCCATCCACAGACCATATCCTCTTTTGCCCTCTCATTCCTTTTCATACTCCAAAATACCCATTCTGCTATTGGAGAGAAAGTCCATTCCCCAGAAGGCTGTTCATCTTTCCAGGGCTTGTTCACATGATCAGACAAGAATTCTAATTCATAGGATGTTTTGTACAAAGTGAAAGGTTTAAAAAGAGGGTAGTGAAATTGGAGAGGTACAGCTGTAACAGGTCAGGTGAGCAGTAATTCAGAGGTGAGCAGGGGCCTTTAGTAAGAAAGGACATAAGTGATCCTTACAGAGTGGTATGATGGTGGAGTCCACGCACTTTGGAATTATGATTGGATTCCAATGGTTTCAGAGCTAAGGTAAGAAGTGTCAGCAGTTCACAAAGCTTCCCTAAAGATTCTTTGGGGGTGGGGGTAGAGGAGAAATTCAAAGAGGAAGGTGGCATAACACTTTAATTATTTACAAATGGGGCTATAAATTCTGGAAAGATTTCTTTGACTCATCCTAATGTACTGGGGAGTCAGAATAATTAAAAGGGAATTTGATTATAACTTCCCTGGAGGTGTTGGAGATGGTCCTTTTGCATATGGGTCCTGTTACTGCTTGATTTATTTTCTAATTAGTTACATTGTTTCATTTTTAAACGCTTTTGATCTTGTATTTATGTGCCTCCTGTATGGTCTAGCAATAGAGACTGAATTAGATTGGCTAAGGGTTTGGGCTGTGAGTTTCATTAGAGATTACTTCCATATTGCACTTGGTGGTAAGGAGTCTACACTCACAAAATCTCCTTCATGTCTCCATCATATACTCTTCCCATCTTCCGTGTTCATGGCTCTTTCCAAATGACACTCTATGTAAGTATCCTAGCGATATAAATGACAGTTTTATTTATTTATTTATTTTGTATCCCCAGCACATGGCACAATATCTGGCACATATTAGGTGCTTAATGAATGCTTGTTGTTTGCTCTGTCTTTTATCTCTGATACATTGGTCAAAGAGGAAGAAGTGACTAACTTAGTTCTCATTACAATTACCAGAACCACCCTCTGCCATCACCACTCTGCAATTTCTTATCTTTTCAAGGCTGGCTCTATTTGTCTCTCTTACCATTATTAGATCATTTTTTTTTTGGCTATAATACACACACACAAACACACACACACACACACACACACACACACACACCCTCTCTGTCTCTGGGTCACTTTTCTTCCTCTCTCAAGGAGTTCAATACTTCTTTGCCCCAGCCATAACACTCATAGCCAGGGACTTCCGCTCTCTTTTCTAACCACTTTGTCAACTTCTTCAATTCTCATGACCTGCATTTTACTCCACCCGCAGATGGCCTTAAGTTTCACCATCGCTTATCCTTGTGCCACTTACGTGAGCTTGAACTCTCTCCTTTTAGACATAATATCATATCTTTTCATCTCTCCCCTTGCCTTACTCTTCCTAAGAATAGATTTTAATTCAACTTTTTTTTATGACTTCCAGTATTTCTTTTCTTATCTGTTCTCCCAATAAATCATCCCTTCTCTGGATAGATTCTCTTCTCTTTCAATTCAATGTAGCTGGTTAAATGGTTCACTAGAAAAGAGAGTAGAAAATAAATGGCATGTTTGAAACAAGATTTTATATTATCAGTGGGTTTTAATTACTTAGGTTATCTTTGTCCGATAATAACATGTGACCAGTACTTGGATATGTGCTGCAGACTCAAATACCATTTCCAAGAGTGACAGTGGAGCAAAAGTTTAGAACATTTAGTTATTTCAGTTCCTGAGGAGATAACAATACAATTACTCATAGCAACAATGAAAATAGCTAATATTTGTACAGAGCTTTTACATTTGGCAAAGTACTTTACAAATATTATCTCAGTATGTTTTTACAACAACCCTGGAAAGTGTTATTATCCCCATTTTACAGTAATGGAAACTGAGGCAAACAGAAGTTGTGGCTTGCCAAACATCTTACAGTAAATGCCTGAGGCTAGATTAGAACTTAGGTATTCCTGAAGACTGCACCTATCTCCTGAACCACCTAGTTGCCTCCAATCAACATGATTAAAACTTCAGTTGAGAATACACTCAAACTAGAAGCGTGTTCTTCAAGTCACCTCAAGGAGTAGAATTAGCTCAGAAAAAAAGCCAACATAATAATTAGCAGCTAATAAAGGGGAAAACATCTTAAAATCTGTTTTGAGGATGAAAGACCAGACAAGTAATGTAGATAAAGTCAAAGAAATTTGCCCTTTTAGGTCACACACTTCCAGAAGAGAATTACCTAACCCTTTTGCTAGATGACATAGGCATGGTCATTGAATATTCTTTGATTCTCCAGTAAGTGTGGGGTGCCATGTGGCACAATTATGGCAGCTTCTGCCCTTCAATGACTTAAGGTCTAAAGTTTCCCTCTGTACTTGCCACACTGACTTAGGAAAAGAACACAGTGAGGATAAGAATCCCTTTACCCTGTAATGAAGGCATCCCTTTAGGTAGTAATGTCTGCAGCTTTCAGCAAGTTGAGTTTATTAGACTTATAGAACATTCTAAGAGATATGCTATGGTATTCCTCTTTTCTCAGTCCTGGTTTGGCAACATCTGCATTCTTTCAGTTCTCCAGTGATTTAAAGGGGTATTATGACATTTTAAAAACTTTACAATAATAAATTTAAATTCATGATTTAAATCAAGCAGCACATTTTGGTTAAGCAGCCACTTTGTGCACAGCATTATCACTGAGAAGAGTTTACCAAATTCCACCCTAAAGCGAGTCCTCAAACTCTGGGATATAGACAGTGGCAATAGCTCATTAAATTGACTTAAAAATTTGTTTAATAGATGTCATATTACCAGGTCCCTTGTATTTATATGGGATAGGAATTGAGTCTGTCATTTTGCTGGCACAGATGAAGATGCTCTTTCTACCAATGTAAATCAGTACATTCTTTGCAATTTATAGTTTTACAGAACGGCTGAGAACTGAGAGGTTAGATGACTTGTTCAGAGTCACACAGCTAGTTAGAGGTGGAACCTGAATATAGGTGCTCTTGGTTTCAAGGTTAGCTAGTTATCTATTATACCATGCTACCTCTTTTTTTAATCTCTACTACTTTTTTTCAATCTTTAACATTTTTATTTAAAGTTTTAAGTTCCAAATTCCATCTCTCCTTCCTTCTTTTCCCTCCTCTCTTCCCTGAGCTGGCAAGCAATCAGATAGAGGTTATACATGTGCAATTATGTAAAACATTTCCATATTAGTAATTTTATACAAGAAGACTTTAATAGAAGAAAAGAAAGAAAGAAAGTGAAAAATAGCATGCTTTAGTCTGTATTCAAATAGTATCAGTTCTTTCTCTGAAGGTGGGTAGTATGCTTCCTCATAAGTCCTTTGGGATTGTCTTGGATCATTGTATTGCTGAGAATAGCTAAGTCATTCACAGTTCTTCATCGAACAATATCGCTATTACTGTGTACGACATTTTTCTAGTTCTGTTCACTAAACATCAGTTCATGTATGTTTTTCCAGGTTTTTCTGGAATCATCCTGCTTGTCGTTTCTTATGACATGATAATATTCTATTACAATCATATACCACAACTTGTTTATCCATCCCCCAATTGATAGGCCTCCCTTTGATTTCAATTCTTAACCATCACAAAGAGTTGCCATAAATATTTTTGTACAAATAAATGGTCCTTTTCCCCTTTTTTGGATATCTTTGGGATATAGACCTGCATGCTGTCTCTTTGATACATATATGGTACATGTAAAATTAACTTCAAAATTTCATGGCCTTATGAAGTCTAAGAATGCTAATGCCCAGCTACAAAAATGTTGACTCTGAGTTACATGCACATCTGATTTTTTTTTAAAACTCTTTGGACCAATGCAATCATCATCTAGGTCAGAAGGGTCAAATTCACAGCTTACAAATCTGTGATATTCTAAGTCAATATGCAGTCTGCAAGGATCCTCTTCTATTTGAGTTTGACACCGCTATCCTAGATGGCCTTCCAGCTGCCAGCTCTCTCCAATCTGAGCTGTCTGCTACATGATAGTAAGAAACAGAATCTCCAGGTGTTCTTTAAATCTTCTCACTGCTGCTTTCACATGCATAGAGATTCCAAATTGTTTCATATTAATTTCAAACTTCTAGTCCTGTAGTTCAAAGCCCTTCATCAAGTGGTCTATCACAGCTTAAGAATTAAAATGAAATTTTCCAAAATCCATTCCAAAATCATTCAGAAGGGGGAAAATTGTTGATGGCTATTGCCTGCACTTTTGAAGGTTGATTTTTTTTCTCTAAGATTTGTTATGAAAACATAATCACTATGCAAATACGGTACTCAGATATTAAAATAATCTAGATTCTTAATAACCACATTGAAATAAAAAGCATCTAGAAATTCTTTTCATGAATGTATTTAAAAGTAATTAAACTCATTACCAAGCCAAGGCTTAATACAGGTACCGTATTTGCATAACCACCTATTGTGTTTACATAGTCACTGAGTAGACTGTTAACTCTGGTTCTGCAATTTATTCAAAGCCTCAGTGTCCAGGGAATTGGGACCACTACAACAAACTTTTTTTAGCCTTTAAAAAAAATAAAATATCTCTTCTACCAAAATAGTCATTTGCTATATTTGCTGATACTGTGTAAAGATGGGCATATAGGATCACAGAATGTCAATCTAGAAGGGGTCTTAGAGATCATCTAGTCAAGCACATGGCCTGTAACATTCCCAAATGTAATCACAATCAGATTAAAATATAACTACAATACATTTAATTAACTAAATCAATAAAAAGGAGCATATTCACATGTGGGGTTTTCTAAATCTATATACAGTGCGGGGATCCTTATATATGGTTTCCTGGCCCCCATTTCTATTTGAGTTTGACATCTTGGATGTAGTCTATGACTTTCAGCTTATGGGTGAGGGAACTGGAGTTCAGAAGGATTAAATGACTTCCTTAATGCCATATAGTTGTAAGTTACAGAGCAGGGATCAGAACCCAGGTTTTCTAATTTCATTTCTCCACCAATTCCCAAACACTGAGATTTGTAGTTTCATGCATACATAGCGGTTAGGTATTCAATAACAAAAGTTTTGTCAAATTGTCTGAGACAGACTAAATATTCATCACTATATGAGACACTAGAAGTTTTAGATTAAAATGTGTATAGATAAAGAAGGAAGAATCAGAAAAAGTAATATTAGTTGGACAAAAGGCTAAAACATCAGATGGATCCCTGAAACTTAGGAACAAGACCCGGGGAGAGAAGATAAGTTAATAAGGAAATTCCAGCCATGAATGGAATGACCTGTTTTGAGGAAACCTTCTCAGAAATAATTCAACCTCTATTATGATTCAGAAAAAGTTTATAGATGAGATTAAGGTGCTCTTCTGGATATCATTATGATGTAGCCAATTCAAAATGCAATAAGTGGAAAGTAATCTATATATAAATAAAATATCATTTTGTTTTAAAAATCAATATCTTTTAAGTGAATATGAATCACCTTCCCAGAGCCTACTCATCACTAAGTGATTTGATAAAAGCATTTCTGAACTTGCAATTCTTAAATATGAGACCTTGTATCACATTGACCTTATCAGAGTAAAGCATCCTGTGTGGTCTGGCTTGACTCTGCTAACCAGCCTTACACCTTTTCCAACTATATTTAATAGAAATATTTTATATGAGTAATCAGAGGTGCATTTGGGTAGGGAAGCATCATGTATAGGGATTCAGTCACTACATGTAACTCAGGCTAGTTAGTGATCCAAGAGCTGCTAAAGGCAGGTTCAACTTGAACATCCAACTCACCCTTAATAACATTTTAAGTTCTTCTATCTTTAGCATTCCCACTACACAAGTATAAACTGTTGTTTCCTAAGGTTTCTACCATAACACGTCTTATATATCAGTGTTAAAGTCCAGAGAGAGCATTAAGACCATTTTTTAAAATGTGTGTATTGTAAGATAAAAAGTAGCAAAGACTTTTGAGAATATAAAAGAAACTTAAAAAAAACCCCTGTTTTTTTGAGGAAAAGTAGTATAAAAGAAGGGATAGGAATACTGCTCCCTGAATTGGATCAATGAAGTAATCATTAATTGAAGACTTACAAGGCAAGTACAGTGATAATAGAAAAATAAAAGTAACTACCTGACCGTGGTGAGTGAGGGGGCCCAGTTATCGTTGGACATTTGTTAGAACAGGAAAATTTTAGATTAGGAAAGAAGACATTTCTTTACCTGGCCTTTTGAAATACTTCAAATCAGCCCATGATAGCCCAGGGCAAATATTCCACAAGATGAATCTTGAGGTATTCCTGAAAGGTGTTAATCAGAGTCATGGGACATAGTTTATATAAGGTAATAAATAACAATAACAACAACAATGATGATAATTTTAATAATTGCTATGATTTGTCATGCTTTAAGATTTGCAAAATGTTTTTGATATGATGTTACATTTGATCTGTATAACCCTGTGAAATAGGTGTTATTTATTCTTATTTAACAGATGAAGAAACTGAGGCTGAGAGAGGTTAAAACAATTTACCCTAGTTCACATGGCCAGCAAATCTGAGACAACATTTGAACTTGAGTATTCTGGACTTCAAGTTCATTACTCTATCTAGGGGTGGGGAACCTATGGCCTCAAGGCCACATGTGGCCCTCTAGCTCCTGAAGTGCAGCCCTTTGAATGAATCCAAACCTCACAGAACAAATCCCCTTAATAAAAAGATTTGTTCTGTGAAACTTGGACTTGATCAAAAGCTGCACCCAAGGACCTTAGAAGGCCACATGCAGCCTTGAGGCCTCAGATTTCCCAATCCTGCTCCCCATGTGACTTAGGTCCCAAATAGAAGAAAGATACCCTGTCTGCAGAGAAAGAAGAGACCTCACTTAACGAGTGTAAAGTCTGAAAGAGAGAAAGAACAAACAAGGACACAAATGAAGGTGACAATGTTATCAATAAACTAAATGATAAGATGAAGATAAAAGAAGAAAATTTTTAAACGTGAAATGAATAGTAATTGTGGGCATAATAGAATAGTGATAGTAGTGCATGGAGGAGTAGAACTGGAAGGTTAAATTCTGAAAGACTATGATAAAGAAAATGGTATGCTTAATAGTACCATTGGAAAAAAGCAACATTTATCTTTGTTAAACCACGTGATGGAAATAACCTCTCAAACAGAGAGCAGAACAAAGGCTGGGATATAGTTAATAAAGATAAGGTAGCAAGATATCAAGAGAGGTACAGAATTGGGAAAAGGAAATACATACGGATAATGGAAAGAATCTACCACGTGACCTGATCTTTTCTTCAGAAATATACAATACAACAGGTATAAATGAATTGGATGATGAGAAAGGAATGTACATTGGTTGTCTAGGCAGGACTCCCATTATTCGTCCCAGGCTCAACCAACTTGCAGATAAGTACAGGTTCACATGTATTTTCTACTTGCCTATTCTACTGTAAGAAATGCATAGGAAATACTAGAAATAAAATCAGCATTGTTAACTAAATCATTTTTCTCTCCGAGTAAGCAGTTACAGGTTTTTTTTTTTTAAGACAAATCTGAGGATTGTTTTTTCCTCCTTTATTTGTGACTCAATGCCTAGGGACTATAAGGCATTTTTTCATTGTTGTTATTTTCCTTTTTAAATGTTTGATTTATGTTCTTTTTGTTTTGAATCCCTCATTCTTCTCAATCATACTCTCTCCCCCAAAAGAATAATTTCTTGTAACATGTATATGTATTTGAGCAAAAGAAATAAGAATAATAGTCATGATGGTGAATGTCTCATTCCACATCTATACTTCATCACCTCTCTGACAAAAGATGGAATGCATACTTGATCATCAGCTCTCCGCCATCACAATTAGACACTTTACTGATTAGACTTCTGAAATTTTCATTGTTGTTTTCTTTCATATTATTATAATGATTGTACATAATGTTTTTTTCTTGAGCTATTTTTATACCTTAATTTTAGTTCATTCAAGTTATAGGGTAGTTGTTTTAAGACTGTCTGCTCTCAAAATCTTTGAAATACCTATAACATTTGTTATGTTGACAGTATAAGGAACAACAATTTGAAGTTTAAATACTTTGAGATATTTTGGTGAAAGGATTTTCAAAATAATAGAATGATATTATATTTTCCAAGATTTTAAAAAGCTTAGATTTAATTCTGAATTTTTCCCTTTGTAAAATCTAAACCTTGGTAAATTTTTTTTTAAAATTACTTGTGGCTCTTTTGATTTACCCACATTCAAAACTCCCCCACCACCAATTTAATAGTGTTTTTTCAGTCTTGCAAAACTCTCAAATGGATGAATAGGTTTTGCTGCAACTTTCCAAACAAACTTACCTTTGCATTCAAGTAATTACGGAAAATTTCAATCTCACACATATCTTTTGGAAAATCAGAGTCAAGTGAAAACATGGTTCATAATGGAGCCTGAATGTACATGACTACTGTACAGAGCTTGCCACTATAGATTCTGTAATGTATAAGCATAAGGGCTAATTTCACAGCTGGTGTGTTTTCTGCTGACCTGAAACTGAAGTTGAGGGAAAGTTTGTTGAGCAAAGAACATCAAAGACATTTAGCTAAAATGGTGTGCATGGACTGGTAGATGAAATTCTCTGGACTGGAACCTAGAAATTCTCTTTAGAGTTATGAGCATAAAGAGCCAGATTTGGTAAGGCAGAAGAAAAATCAGTGCAGATCAGCACAGCAAAAGTATTTCCTTAAAGCATATTCCCCCCTCCCCATCCATCATTCTTCACTTAGAGTTGGCATTTTATACATTAAACTGAGTTGGATTGGTTTCCTAGCTCAAATAATTTGCTATGGAAAATTCACTTCAGCAATCCATATTCCTCAAAGGTACATCCTTTCATCAGTGTGAAAGTTGGCTTTTGCTCAGTGGGTGTTAGAAAAGGAGAAAAACAACCACTTCAATCATGCACAATACTCTTTGTGTGTTTTCCATTCTGTTTTTCTCTAAATGAAGATCTGAATTTTTCACTCCTCTACCCAATAAACTCTAGTCACTCATTCCTCATATAAACTCCTGTTTGGCTTTTAAAAATCCATCATAACCTGGCCTCAGGTTACCTTTCCACACTTATTATTTATATATCGTACTGTATAATTTAGCCACCTAGCTTTATTGCTGTTTCTCTCACAGTCCTCCATCTCATGTCTCTGTTCCTTTGCCTTGGTTGTCCCCCATTTCTTGAATATACTCCATCTCCCCCTTTGCCTCATACATCCATTACTTCCTTCAAGATTCAGTTTAAACTTCATCTTTTATATGAAGCTTTCCCAATGTTTTTGGCTGCTAGAACTCCCCCTCCCCAAAATTCATTTCAGTGATAGGCATATATGCAGCTAGATGGTGCAGTGGATAGAGTGTTAGACCTGGAGTCAGGAAGACTCATCTTCCTGATTTCAAATCTGTTCTCAGACACTTACTAGCTATGTGACCCTGGGCAAGTCATGTAGTCCTGTTTGCCTCAATTTCCTCAACTGTAAAATGAGCTGAAGAAGGAAATGGCAAACTTTAGTATTTTTGCCAAGAAAATCCCAAAGGAGTCACAGTCAGACACAAGTGAAAAATGAACAACAGCTTGAGAGCCAGTCTTGAAGCTAAGAAGAACTGAGTTCAGGTCTCACCACTGATACCCACTGTCTGCACCACTCTGGTCAAGTCATTCAATTTTTTAGCATTCTAAGCACTTTTCTAAGACCTTGCAGAGAAAGTGTCAATGTGCTTAGATGATACAAATTACAGATTCAATACCTAACCCTATTTGTACTTACATATGTGCATGTGGTCTCCTCAGTAGAATACAGTCTCCTTCAGGGCAAAGACTGCTATATTTTTGTCTTGGTAAGCTTAGCATCTATCACTATCACATGGTAGACACTTCATAAATGCTTGTTGATTGATTGTGGGGTTTCTGAAAACTAATACGGGAATGTGATAACATACCTTTGTCTAAAAGCAAAAATGCCAGCAGTTTGGGTGCTTCAAATAGTAAGCCTATTTAATACCCCAAGACCAACTTAAGAACTTATGCTTTACCCAGAGATTATGGAAAGAGGAAGAGAAATGGAAAGCTACCTAATAGGAAGCTACTCGTGTAAAGGCTAGAGTCAACTGGAAGGCCAAAAAAGTAGAAGGGACTGTGACAGAATGTCTCTTGAGGGGAATCTGCTAATCCCTAATGGGAAATGGACTTGTCAATTGGGAAAACTAGGAGGTAGGGAGTGAGAGCTGTTTTGGTATGTAAACAGAGAGATTTTAGAGACCTCTATGAATCAGTTTGGAAATGCAGTGACTAATGCTTTTGAATCCTCACATAATGCCAAATATTGAATAAGCTGAACAGGTTTTAATGGAAATGAACTCCACAGGTTATGATGTGGAACGAATTGAATTAGACAAAGATTTCAAGGGTACTAGCCAGTATTTGGGCAAATTGTAAGTAGCACATTTGTCATTCATTCATTCATTCATTCATTCATTCACTCATTCATTCAATAAGTATTTATTAACTATAGATAACCACATGTAATAGATATAGAAACACATTAATCTCATGACATTGTAGTCCATCATGTTCATAGTAATGTATAGGACAACTTTTAATTCAGGAAAGAGATCTTCTCTTTCTTCATAAAATCACACATTTAAAAAAATCATAATTATTATTAATAAATTTTATAAATGTTTTGATCCCCACCTTGATAAGAAAATGGAGATGAAAACAAGCAATATAGGTTGCCCAAGGGGGTCATTCAACTAAGAAGCGAGGAAGTCAGTATTTGAATTTCAGTCTCCTGATTAAAAGGTCATTACTCTTTCTTACTATACTATTCTATCTCTCTAAATCAATATTTCTTCTGTGTCCTTATAGTATTCAATACCTGTGCTCTTCATACTGTATGGACTCAAAACATGTTGTTTCTTCTGGCTAGAAGCTGAAAGTCAGGTTGCAGAATGTAACCCTTAGCTCAAGGGGCCAATTGTAAGGGACTCTCTCCTCATTGATGGAGACTTATTATAACTCAATGTTCCATGCCCGTGTGAAGGTAGAATTGGAGGGAGCAGGAGAGGAGGAAGATTTGGAATTTTCTGGCTTCCAGAATCAACAGAGAATATGTGTAATTCCATCCTATTTTTAGGTTTTGAAGGGAGAGAAAGACTCGAGGAAGGCAAGCCATTATTCCTAGAGCTTCTTAAAATGTTTCTCTTCTTTCCTTCATGGGCCTAGTTCAGGTGCTACTTAGACAAAAACATTTCTTATCCTCCTGTCAAAAATGATCTTTTCCTTCTCAGCATTTTTTATAACACTATAAACCTTCCTTTGCCTTTACCACGCTCTATCTTCTTTTATTCTTATTTGGGTACAACATTCTCCCATTAATCATAACCTTCTTGAGGATGGAGACCACATTGTTTTTAATCTTCATATCCTCAAGGCCTGGCACAATGCCTTGAACTTAGTAGGCACTTATTAAGTGTGAATCAATTTAAATTGATTTGATAGTTTAGTGGTTTTAAAGAAGGGCAAGTCAGCCACAGAACTGAGACTTGATCCCAAGTTTCCTGACATATAGTTGAGTGTTTTTGATTTCTTTAATATAAACTTAACCAACATGAATTTTAGGACATAAAGAGGAATGGAAAAGCAGATTATACACTAAACTGTGGGTTTTGTTTAGGTACAGTTTTCTTAAGGTTACATAGTAACCAAACTCCCCTCCCATACTTCTTACCACTCTATTTTGCATATTTTAAAAAAATTCTTCATTGATGATCTTTTAATTTAGTGTTTTCATTAATTACTATCACTTTCCACAATTCCACTCATTGTTCCTCCTCCAAATAGCCCTTCCATTGAGGTCTTAAAGTACATTTTGTTCTACACCTCTAGTCCATCACCTCTGTTCCAGGAGGTAGGAAACATAATTCATCATGAGTCTCCTGAACTCATAATTGGTAACAGCATTGATCAGAGTTCTTAAATCTTTCAAAATTATAGTCCTTTACATTATTTTTCAAGATTGATACTTCCAAATTTTCCCTCATTGCCCTGAGAAATGTACAGTGGATTGACTCAAATTTCACAATATAGTCCCTTCCCCGCTTTTGGTTGTTTTTCTTCAAAGGAAATATTATTAGAATACATTTTTCTTTTGATATAATTAGCCTGACTCTTTTTCCCAAATCCTCACTTCTCACCACATTCAACTCCAGCAATAATGTTACAGATAGCATTGCAGTTAAAAGAAAAGACAGTCTTAGGCAACAAACAATGTGACTTACCTGACTATTCCCATGTGGTCCAACTTCCAGTTGAGCTTGGCAACTAGTCCAGCTAAGGCTTCTAGCCAGTTTCAATAGTATGGTCTCTAGTCTTTTCCTCATTTTTCTTTTTGTTGGAATGGGTCGTGTTTAATTCTCTTACTGACAGTGACAGAAGGACAAGAACAACTTTAAGCAGGAACTGGACACAAAAGAGCTGCCTGAATTCAGTAAACACTAGAATCCTAAGAGTGAAGAGTGAGAATGAGAAGGTTTGAACCAAATTATACTCCGGATTTTTTTTTCTGCCACATTTCCCCCCACCCACTCCTAGCAGGGGCCCTCACGTAGGGCATGTGACTGATTACCATTTTTACAGCTGACACGATGGAAGTTACAAAGGGTGTCCTATATCTCATTTGATTTCAACTTGGATCTTTCTAATGAAAAAGCCAATGGCAGAATCACATTTTCTTCTGATTTCACTAAGGATTTAGATGTTTTTCATCCTTTTTCTTCCAGTTACTATTACAAAAATCTTAGCAAAATCTATCAAAATTTTCCTCCTGGTTAGATTGAATGGAAAATTTTTCAGTATGACTTTTATTTGGTGTTATCCATCTACCATCTTACTCCTCTCTGATCTGCCTCTACTTCATATTCACCCTAAATTTAAATGGATTGAACCATTATTTACCTCTTTCGCAGTTTAATGCTGCAATGGTCTTAATTCTTAGAGGTAATCAAATCTGATTCTTTTTTTTTTCTCCACTGTTACCTGTCCTCTATTATCCATTAATCTTTACTTTTAACATATCCTTGCATTATGCCTCCTCATGTGCAATTTTGATCTCAAGTACATCCTTCTCTTCTCCTTTATCATAGTCAAAAATATCATCTTTCCCAATAATTCAGGTTCTGGGCCCTAATCTCATTCCGCTTGTTACAGCTAGGCCATGAATTTTCTCTTCATCTAGAAAATTTCTCCCATGGTTTTTGCAAACTTATTCTCTGTATTTTCTGCTCCCAGCCATTCAGCTTCATTGAAATGATCTTCCTTCCCCACCATTCTAATGAGTTTTTTTTTCTTACCCAGATCTGTATTTTAATTGGTATAAGGAACTCCCACAGAGGATAGACCTTTTTACCAATAGTGACAACTGTCCTTCAATTTAGATCTTAAGGCATTGTCTGAAGTATTGAAAAGTTAAATGATTTGCTCAAAGTTACATTAACTGGATATGGCAGAAAGCAAGACTTGAAAGAAGGTTTTGTTTTTTTTTTCCTTCAAGGCCAGCTCTCTATCCACTTGACCACATTTGCCTCTGCTACACTGTCTCCCTTATTCTAACACTTCCCTTTCCTAAAAACATGCATTAATTATGTGTTCCTCAATGAGTTCCGCATTATCTTTATTTATCATGTAAGGGGAGTGGCATGCATGGTGTTCTGTAGATGAAGGTTATGTGGGTCTGTCTACATGTGGTTCATAGGGAGACAAGAATAGAGAGCTCTGGCTTCACTATCACCCACCTTTCTCCAAGGAAGGGAATCAGAGGATGGGCCCAGTGCTTTCTCACTTTCCTCAGAGAAAGGGGATAGAATTATATCTCTCTGCTCCATTGTTAGCCTGGGGGAAGCAATTTTTAGGTTCAAGTTAAACTCCTTATCACTATTCCTTAATAAGAATAGGGGGCACCAAGCTATATTTCTAAGTTTTGATTCCCTTCCTACCAAATGACAATTTCTCAATGAACATATATAACCAATAGCAAAGAACCTTACTCATCCAAGTCAATAACAAAGCGTTAATCAGTAAAAGTATACAGATGAATAAATATACACTGGGTAATACAAATTAAATGATCTCTCCCTTTGAAAACAATGAGAGAGGGAGGGAGGGAGGGAGCGAGAGAGAGAGAGAGAGAGAGAGAGAGAGAGAGAGAGAGAGAGAGAGAGAGAGAGAGAGAGAGAAGGAGAAGGTAAGGCAGAGCTCTGTGGCATGGTAGATAAAGCACCAGACCTAGAGTCAGGAGCACCTGAGTTCAAATCTAGCCTCAGATACTTATTAGGTATGTGATCCTGGGCAAGTCACTTAACCCTGATTGCTTCCCCCTCCCTCCACCAAAAAAAAAAAGTAAAGGTAATGATATAGTACTTTAAGGTTACCAAAGAACTTCACATATGTTATTTCATTTGAGCCTTATAACAACCTCATGAACTAGGTGCTAGTATTAACCCTATTTTACAGACAAAGAAACTGAGACGGAGAGTGGTTAAGTAACTTGCCCAGGGTCACATAGATAATTAGTATCTGAGGAAACATTCCAGCTCAGGTCTTCCTTACTCCAACTCCGATATGTTAGTCACTCTGATGTCTAGGGTGAGGAGATAATAAATTTCTGGCATGGTAATGATGTTCATGAATCCAGAGAAGTGGGTGACTGAAGGATAAGATAAGAAAACAAATAATAGTACAGTTTGGCGTGTAGAACACATGAAGAATAAAATAAAATATATGTTTGGAAATACAAGTTAGAGCCAGAATGCCAATCTAAGGATAAAAACAAAAATAACTCTTTAGATCAATGATCTCCAAAGAGAGAATATGATGCCTTGAGGGGTAATGGTCTTACCACAGAGAAATTTGATCCAGGGAGTATGTGATCAAGCATATGAAGAATGAGAAGACAGGGCAAATCCTATTATCCTTGGAAGCTACCACATATAAAATCAGTAACAACTGCTTGGCCCAAGAGGCTAGGGCACAAAATGGTACCAGGAAAGGCCACTGTAGGGTTAAAAAACTTCCGTAACCTGCCCCAAATCTTCAAATAATACAGCAAGACCCTTTTCTATGTTTACAATCAGTTCAATATTAGCATTGCTGCTAGCTACAAAAGTCAACATCAATGAGAATCAATTAAATTAAATCAAGAGATTGAATTGACACTTTTGTTTTTTGAAAGTTAAATTTTGCTTCCCTGATATATTGTAAGTGAAAAGTCATTAGGAAATCAGGCCTTTAAGCAGGTATAGGGGCAAAGGTGTCATTTTAAGGCTGACCTGCAAAATTTCTCACTGTGGCTTGTACCAGATTAAAATGTAATTGGAAGGGTAGCTAGGTGGCACAGTACATAGAGAACTGTCCTGGAGTCAGGAGGACCTGAGTTCAAAACCAGCTTTAGACATTTGATACTTACTAGATGTGTTACCCTGGGCAAATCACTTAACTCTGATTGCCTCAAAAAAAAATGCAATTGAGAAATGTTTAACAAAATAAGCAAAAATACAATACAACATAGATAATGGTAATTAGGAGTTTTCTAAGTCAATATGCAACCCCCAGGGACTTACTTCTATTTGAGTCTTACACCACTGCTCTGGAATATTATCATTGACTGCTTTAATAACAGACACTAATAGTGTTCAATACTTGGTAGAGTTTTGTAGAAGAATCTCTTCAAATCATCTGCCGTGATGAGCCCCTTCCTGTAGCAGGGACAGTGCCCATACCTGACTCCCCATGCCTAGGCTGACACAAAACTTAGATTTTAATAAATGACATGACTTATCCAAGCTCACATAGGGAGTAATTAGCAGAGCTAAAATTTGAACCTAGGGTTGCTGGCGTCAGATCTGACTCTCTCGTAGCAACACTGCAGCCATCTCCATTTTGTTATGTTCCATTTCCAGCTTTGGGTAGATCACTTTACTAATCAGTGCTTCATTTTGATTGTATATGAAACAAATAGAATACAACTTACAACCCCCAAAGTTAATTAACCTTTTTAGACTCAGAGATATTAAAAATATTAATATGAAGTTGCAGAGGAAAGATGGATTTAAATGAACTATTGGAGCAGATGGATGCTAGAACAAAATTACTGATAGATACTGCAAAATGTCCTTCTTGGGAAATTTAAAAGAATAGGATCAATATTAACTTGCTTAGAGTAATCCTTCCGTGTTGGGGGCCAAGGGATGCACCAGATGACCTGACAGTACTTATTCACCCTTATAAGTTGCTGATGGGTATATCTATATATCTATGTATAGCTATACATCGGTATATCTATATATCTATGTATAGCTATACATCTATCTATATCCATATCTATATCTATATCTATATCTATATCTATATCTATATCTATATCTATATCTATATCTATATCTATATCTATATCTATATCTATATCTATATCTATATCTTATCTATATCTACATCTATATCTACATCTATATCTACATCTATATCTACATCTATATCTATATCTATATCTATATCTATATCTATATCTATATCTATATCTATATCATCTATATCTTTATCTATATATATGCACCCACACATATACACACACACATATATATACACGTATATATACACGTATATATATATGCACACATACATATATATGCACACACACATATACACATATTTGTATAGATATATGTATATATGTGACCACTATAATGACTGTATATGTATACATACATGCACACATACACATATAGCATGTATATGTGTATGTATGCACACACACCCACACACACACACCCACCCACCCACACACCACTATATATATGCTTTGGTTAACAAATGGTCCAGCTAGGTGGTACAATGTATAGAACAGAAGTCCATGAAGACCCGCATTCAAATTTGGCTTTGGACACTTTCCACGTAATCCAGGGCAAGTCATTTAACCTTTGTCTGCCTGCCTTAGTTTGCCATTCATAAAATGGGGATAATAACATCATTCACCTCCCAGGGTTGCTGTGATAGATCAAATAAGAGAATATTTGTACCACCCTGCAAAACTTAAAGTGTTATAGAAATGCTAGTTGTTATCATAATTAACAACCATATTCTGGTTAAGGTCCCCAGGAGAGGAAGAACAAGAGGCAGTGTCTTATAGTGACAGTAATAGTGGGTTTGAAGTGAAGAAGGCATCCCTTTGAATCCCTACTCTGTTACTTCCCACCTGGGTGACTGAGTAATTCATTTAACCTCTTGGCCCCTCAGCTCCTCATTTGTAAAATGAAAGGTTTAGACTAGTCAGTCTCCAAGGGCTCTGAGGGCTATAAATCTATGATCCTATATACAACAGTAATACTGGCCTTTCTATAGTGAGTGCTCTGAGGTTACCAAGTACTCGGTATACATTATATCATTTGATCCTCAAAAAAATCCTTTGAGACAGGCATAGCAAATATTATAATCTACATTTTGTAGATAAGGAAACCACACGTGAGAGAGATTAAGCAGTGGACCATATGACCTCTAATGTCCCTTTCAAATATATCATTCTGTGGTTAAATAAGTAGCCCAAGGTTATATAACTAGTAGGAGGCAGAAAAAGGGCTCAAACCCAGAGGACAGAAGTCTGACTTGAAGACAAATGCGAACTAATGATACCAGTCTCCCTTTTACAACAGGCCTTGTGGTTTAAGGTAAAGTGCGCTAAACTCAAAATCAAAAGCTTCACATCTGAGATCGGCTTCCAGCCTTTATTAGAAGCTGTCATTTGATTGCTCAGTCTTGGTTTCTTTGCCAATAAAATGGGAATAGTAATACTTTCACTACTCACCCCACAAGGTTGTTTTGAATAAAGTCCTTGATAATGATAGGATGTTTCAGGAGTCTTAGTATATTTTTAAGATTCAATAGTTTGTAATTGCACTTTTGAGACATCCTCTATTAAATTGCTATAGAACTACGAAGTATTATTATTACATCATTCTAGGCATTTGGATAGAACACTAGACTTTTATGCCTGAATTTGAATCCTGAGTCAAGTACTTAGTAGTTGTAGGGCTTGGACAAGGCATCTTCCAGCTCAGAGGCCCAGTTTCCTCATCTCTAAAATGTGGTTAATATTGAATAATGCTGGGTCCCCACAAGGCTGTTTGTGAGGAAGACTAATTATAAATCTTAAAGCACTATACAGATGTGAGTTAGCAGTGTAATATTTCCATTATTAAGTGTTTTTCTATTTAACTTTAGAGCATTTTTGAGACATATTAAGGGTTATTGATTTGTTTAAGGTCCTTAGTGCCTAAAAGTATATTTTTCTGAACCTGACTAGCCCAATTATGAAATGAAATATGATTTCATGCACTAATAGAACCTACTCTAGGCAAAAATCCTCATTCAAAACAATTAGACTTCAGTACAGAAAGCTGAGCAAAAGGATTATGTGTTTTATAATGCTGTAACCTTTGGCTAGTGTTCAGACTTTAGTCATAACAGATATGAGAATTTTTTCCCCCAGTTACTGAGATCATAGGATTCAGGGGTAGAAGGGACTTTCAAGATTGTCCAATTCAAACTTTCATTTTACTGGGGGTGGAGGTGGACTGAGGCCCACAGAGATTAAATGATTTACCCAAGGTCACACAGCAAACTGCAAACCAAGGGCCTCTGACTCCCAGTTTTTCCCTAATGTACAAGTAGGATACTTTCCTTGAATCTCAGCAAAAGAAACCTAAGCCACAACTTTTTACTCAACTCTTCTGCCAGTCCTTGAAGTGTCAGCAGATAAGATCAGAAAGTTAAACAGCGATGGGTCTGAGGAATTAACTATATTTGAAGGACATTCAGTTGTTTTTTTTGGTCCCTCTGCA